GGTTTTGAGACTGGAATTATACAAATTCTAAACATTCATTCAAAATTAACATAAAATTTATAATATACACTGTATTGTTTAAAGATATATAATGTGTTGAAATAATAAAGTAGATAATGCTTGCTTTATTTTTTAAATAATATAACTAGCTTTCAAATGAAAAATGATTTACCTTCCTAATAAACAGACGATCTAAATTATACACTGACACTTGATAGCAAAAAAAAAAAATTAAAGATGTAGTAAAAATTTTGTAAATCTGTGTAAACTGAATTATTTTGATCTTTTGTCAGGTCATGACATTGATAATTACTGTGCATTCACCATATAAGACAAATAGCTTCAAATAGCAAATTACGATCGAAAAAACGAAAATTTTTTATTTAAAACATGTTCGTCTGATGTGCAGATCGTCCGTAACACGCAAATTTACTACTGCAATGAACCTACTAAATGTTAGTATGAATGAACGCAATTTTAAACGTGGGGAAATGAAATTTTGATGAACATTCAAACGCCTATAAAATAGTATTACAGTATTTGGAAAATTAGCCCTATACATTTGGCTCCGTTGTTAGCCAGCTAGATGCAGTATCATTGTCATGACCATAAAGAGCAGCAAATTGTAGGAATTTCTGACAGGAAACAGGGGGGTCATCTTATACACTCGACATACAAAAATCGTCTAAAAATCTTCTTCTCGTCTTGTACGTGAAAATATATGTTAATTCTTTCAAATTCATGAGTAATACAATTGTTTTAATGTTTCAGAATATTTCACAGTATATTTAACCTCCTCCTAATAAAAAGTGAACACACAATTTTTAACCATACCGGTATTACTATACACCCATTATTTCTCTCTGTATTAAAATCTTGGTTTTAAAATTTCCCAGAATGCAACCAATTTCATGATTGAATTCATTAGCTGTGGGACATTTAGCATGACATGGATAGCTTTTGCAGGAGTGCTTTGAGTGCTTGCATAATGTATCTCACAATGTAATACAGTCACACATGGTTAAACGTATGATGAGAAAGCAATAAAATTGATCTGTTTTTTAGATTATAAATCATTAATTTTATGAATTTCTATACTTTTCCATCATAATCAACTACCATATAATTTCTAAGAATACCTACTATAATATAAAGTCATTATTTTAAAATCCATTTAAAATAACAAGAGCGACTGCTCACCATGTCCGCGCGTTCCTCCGTTCTTAAATACGGTACAGGCACAGGTTATTATATTATTTTTAAATAATTAGAATGTTTATTTGACATACAAAAAAAATATTAAGAATGATCATTTTTATAAAATGAAAATAAACAAATAAATTGGAAAAAAAGAAATTTAATACCAAGACGCATTTTGAACTCATGACCTTAAGTTCTTTAGATCACATCCTAAACTGACCGCGCCATTCATGCGATGTGCCCTACTGCATTAGTGAATGGCAATAATGTACAGTAATTTTTAAATAATTAGAATGTTTATTTGTTCAATAAAAAAAACATTATTTAGAATGATCATTTGTACAAAATTAAAATACTTAAAATTGAAAAAAAAAATAAATAAAATTTCTTAAAATAAAAAAAAAAAAAGACGTATTTCAAACCAAGACGTATTTCAAACTGACGACCTTAAGTCCTTAGGACACATCCTTCCTTGGATCCAACTTAAAAAAAAGCGATGAACGTTTGCTGGAAATCCCCTCTAGTTTATGTGTACAAATTTCATGCATGTCTGTTCAAAACTGGGGACGCTGGATGCTTTTAAAGTTTGAAACCCCTGTTTTGTTTTGTAGGTGTAGGGGGCACCCTAGGGTCCAAATTAAAAAAAGGATGTTGAACGTTTGTTGGAAATCACCTCTTGTTTATGTGTACAAAACTTCATGCACGTCCGGCCACACTGGGCGCTTTTAAAGTTTGAAACCCCTGTTTTGTTTTGTAAGTGTAGGGGGGCCCTGGGTCCAACTTAAAAAAAAAAAAAGGGTGATGAACGTTTGCTGGAAATCACTTCTAGTTTATGTGTACAAAATTTCATAAATGTCTGTTCAAATCTGGTGACGCTGGACGCTTTTATATTTTTCAAGTTTTGGTATAACAAGAACAAGAACAGCAGTGAGGCTCTGGGTTAACGCTTCATGTGGACCAAAAAGTATTTTGTACAGTATCATCAATCTGAAATTTCTCCTATCATAATAAATTATTTGTTTTTGATAATTTTAGTTTAAAATCTTCGAATTTAAACCAGTGTTGAAATTTCACTTAAAACAGAATAGAATTTTAGATACATCATGTTTTTTATACTACCAAGATGCAGTGCCACCAAGGAAGAGAAGGGGACACAGCTGGAGAAAGTGCCCTAGGACCAGCTCAACAGGATGGAATAAAAAGTGAAATGTAATCTGCTATATTTTAGACGATTATATTTGTATTTATTTATTATACTGCAGATCAAACCAAGTAACTAATAAAAAAAAAAATCTGAATTTTAAAAAATATTTTGATAGCAAGACAAACTGGTACGAAGACAGTCAAAAATGAACATGCAGATACAACTTATGTTGTGTTACAGTATATCAAGAAACATTCTGTAAATTTGTTTCATTGAGGCACAAATTGCCTTTAAATCTAAATTAGTCAACAGACGTGTCAAGAATGCATTCTCTTATAGAATTGCATATTTTTTTGTTAAAAATTCACCATTCAAGTCATGTATATTAATGTCAATTTATTATAGATTAAATGTATAAAAATGAGTCCAGAAATACTGTAGAATACAGTACTTTCATTTATACTGCACATGACACTATAGTGTATTTCACAAATATAGTTCAGCAAATGAAAATTGTACAAAAGTAGGAACAAGTTCAGGATTCACCACTGAAGTAGTGGTGTTGAGTGAATTGGATTCGGGGATGTAGTTATGGTGGGCAGGGTTGGGTGGGGCTACCCAGCCTTGAAGTTTTCCAAACAGTTTAAAGCTAATTTCATGGTCCTTCACCCACCCTATTAACCTACTTTTCCATCCTTAAAATTCACTCTTACTTTTTAGAGTTTACCAATGCTATCACCCATCCACCCTTTAGTGTTCTACAGCTTCAACCCTGTGGATTGGATTTTTTGGGTGTGAAACACTAAAGGATGATCCACAAAAAAAAGGCATCCAGTGGGGCGTCCAGGTTCTGGAGGTGAATTGTGTAGTATTAAACAGGAGACATCCCCTGCTCTATTCCAAAGATTCTACTGCAATATTTAACATAGAAAAAAAAAGAAGCTTTGAGTGAAAAGAAATGGTTGGATCAATAAAGTTGATCTACAGTTCAGCATGTGAGGCATTTTTCTTTTTACTTAAATACAGTAGAGGAAGGAAGTCATCAAATGCATTGGCATCTCACTGAGACAGACATCATCATTCCTTGCAACGTCAAGGTGCTTGACAGTTTAATTAAATTTCAAAAGTTAATAATATTTTAAAGGTGTCAAATACAGAAATATTATGACTGACCTTTTTCACCTAATACTTTCAAATATTGTAAAGGTGTAACTTATGAGCTGTAAATTTATCAATAGGGAATAATGAAAATTCCCAAGTTTTGATAAAAAAAAAGATACTAAAACTGCTTAAACATTCTGATGGTGGGTGAATTAGGCCATAACATACAGTATGCACAAGGGCCACATTGCAAACAGCTGAAACGTCTCATCTGAAAGACGAAGTAGTTATTGGAAAGTATTTCAGTCCTCTAAACTGAAGAACAAGGAGAACAAATTGATCCAGGACCCAAAGGTGTGAAAGGGTCATGGTTCAGTGCACAGACAGTGGCTACCCCACTCAGCAGACTGAGTTTACTGTATTCTGCTTTCGCTGGAGGTAAGGCTTTTATACCGTGTGTCAATGCCCAGCATTTATGGGTCCTACACATAGAACAAAAAAAATGTCTACTGCTACCATTTCTACTATTCTACAAATCAGTGAGGGCGGCAAAGATTCCCTGACGCAGAAGTCAAGGTGCCTGACAAGGGGGTCGGTCCATGGCAGGGGATCCAAATCCTTGATAAGGTGCAAAATATCCAACAAGGGTCCACACCCCGTCCAGCTCTGCCAATGTTGGAAAAAATCACAGATGCATGGTACAAGGTCTTGTATATCTTGGCCCCTCTGGGTGTGGCACTAACACTGTTACAATACGGTAGGTGCATAATTGGTAAGTAGAAGAGAATGTCTGTGTTGTCGTGAAGACTATACTAAAATATCCTACAGTATATTGATATGCCTCAATAGCATACAGTGGAAGATATAATATTGTTGAGGTTTTCTCCATATTTATCAATAAGAAGAAGGGTGGGTGGATTCTATTGACGCGATAGTTATAGTTTAAGAGCACCAAAGCTTGATTAAACCAATTTCCTTGGTCACCTTCTTGTACTGTATGTTGCACGTTTTATTGATCTATGACGATATGCAATAAAGACAAAGAAAAAAAATAACCAACAATACTCATTTTCCCTCTATATGACATCAGAGATTTCACAGGTGATTATTTTTAATCAGCTATCAGAAATAGTATTTATGTACATGTATGTAGATTTGTCTGTTTTGTTTGTCTGCCTTGTCCTGTCATCCGTTGTTGTTGTTGTCATCTCATCTCCACAAACATTTTCAATGTGGGGAAGGTACGAGTGGGGTGCACAAACTTTTTGGGGAAATCCCCCAACCCTAGATACACCACTGTATATGTATGAGCAAACAACAATGACTAAAACTTGGATAATTCTAGACACAGCATGTGGCTATATGGGCAAGCTTAAAAAAAGCATACACTTTACCAACAAGAATTACAATTCAATTAAAACTATACTGATAGCAGTTCAAGTTACAAGTCGATGGAGTACTTCGACCTTCATTGTCGTTTTCTGCTCTTCTCCCACTCACAAGAGAGGTTAATTTTACATTTTAGACCATCAAAATTGGTTTTTTTTAAACTTACCAAGATTCCCTGATGAGTCGCAAGGGCAAATTAGTACTCCTACCACAATACACAGCCCTAGTGCACGGGCGGCGTAAACAGCACCTCGATTCATGCTCTCGTCGTACTGTGCGGCTAAATCCGTATAAAGATCTACATTCTAAATAACTAAATAAAAAACAAAGAGGCAAAATATCAAACTTCAATCTCCACTAGAAAGAACATCACAGCTGTATATATAAAACAGCCTTACAGAAACGATGGCCGCGAAGATATTTTATTACGGTAAATTTGAGGGGGAAAGAAGATCCACACTCTGATTGATCATTCCTCGACTTTGTTTATATTGACAGCTGGTCGAGCGTAGCTGTGTGTACGTGAATTATCGCCCTCTACGACGATTAAAAAACAATAGACCACTTGAGATCTGTTGTGATTATTTTCATATAGTCTTTATTTAGTAATAATAATAATAATGATAATGATAGTTATTTAAAATGCTATAGCACACTCAAATTTTTCTCAAAAGATTGATGGTGATGGTGATGGTGATGATAATAACCAGATGATGATTTTGATTATGACATTTTGTCATTTGTCATCATTAATTATTATAATGATAATGATAATTAAATGATAATGATAGTAATAATAGTCATTATTGTATAATAATAATTATTATCATTGTCATTTGTTCTTCACCATCAATATAATAATGATGACACTATTATGATAATAAAATGATAATGACAATGATGATGATTAAAATGATAGTAAAAATAGGGAATATCATAATGATATTATTATTATTATTATTATTATTATTATTATTATTATTATTATTATTATTATTATTATCATTACTATTATTATTATTATTATTATTATTATTATTTTATTATCTAATTATTATTATTTTTTTTTTAATTTTTTTTTTTTATTGTCTAATCGTTATCATTATCATCATCATCATTATGATGCGCTGTGCGTATTATTGTGGAGTATGGCGCTATACAAATAATTGACAATATTATTATTCTTATTATTTGTTGAAGATGGTAACGAATGTCATAATCAAAGTCATCTTTCACATTTTGATAATTATCACCTTGAATTCTTTATATTTATTTAAGAATTTCAGATATCATAATAAAGGAGTGGAGTTTAATAGCTCAGTGGTTAAGATGCTTGCTTCTGATCCAAGGATCGTGGGTTCAATTCCTGTCAAAGCAGGAATTTCTCTCGGCGACTAAAACAACTCCACTCACTAAAGCCTCATAAAGAG